TTTTATATGCTGATACTTGTAGCGCATGAATCCGCCTTGGTTTAAAGAGTTCCCGTAATCCTCAAGCAAAAGTGCGAATTTGGTTGTGACAAAAGTTTCATATATCACTCACAGAGTTTTCGGTCTACGAATAATATGACGAATCAAATCAAGCAATTGGCATAGATACCACCTGCCAATTATATCAAATAAGACTTCGCACTAAATAAATGCACGCAGACTTGTAACCTCACGTAGTCACCACGATGGAATCATAGCGTTAAATGGAAATCATCGATATTCATGGTTTGACAACGGCAAAGCATTGTACTCAAATAGAGCTTCCACAGATTAGCAACATGATGCGTGACGTCAAGTATTTGGCAAAGATATAATAATCCATCTGTCCATAACACAGATTAACTTGTGATCGCAGGAATGCGCGCTGACTGATAGTTGCTTTGTTACCGTCATCTGCGGTAAACAGGGCTAACATCACTGTAACCCAGATTTATGATGTTTGACCGTTACAAATGATGCTTCAGGCTGATATTAGGCAAAGTTCAAATTCCTCTCCGCACGCAGCCTCAACGAAGTTTTTCCACGTTTCGCATTGTTCATCCAAGAGAGAAAAGTTTTGAACATATAAACGTTTTCTTTTAGGGCCGTTTTATCAAACCAAGCCAAACACTGAGTTCATCTAGTTTTTTTCAGACCGGTGGTCGTCAGCGCCTCCTCATTCGTCAACCGCTGATGACATCGCATTTTGAGGATGCAGTGCCGACAGCACTGCTGGGAGCTGTCTAAACGAGTTTCATGACCCTTCAGAATGACAGATGTTTCGGGACTGTGCATGAGCACCGTAAATACGGTTGTTTTCAAAATGATGATCCTCATGTCTATCCCCACAGTCCAATCCTTCATCCCTGTTATTCAGCTTGCCATAATTCGTGGATGCCAGTCCGATACGCTGATTCACATCAGGATCATTGTAGCCATCGTTAGTCAATACAGTTCCGAAATGCTTGAAATGATCTACTTCGTTCATCGTAATACCATAATAACCTTGAACTACCGGTCGCGACGGGCGCTCTCTTAATCTTCGCCTTTTTGGAGTTAACGTGTAGTCCCCACAACCTCCTAGGGGTGTTGCACACACTTTCTGAGTGTCACATGCAGCTGAGTCTCTCAGCAGCATGACGTCATCGGTATGCTTAACGTCCGTTAGGAATACAGTCGATTATTTTAAACCGTGTCGCTGACTAACGGTCAGTCGGTGTCAGTCAGTGGTTGCTATCTGGGACGACGTACTTCCGCATAACGTAGCTCCTCACGAAAATGAATGGCACAAGACAGTACCTCGCCTTGACGAACTCCCCTGGCAATGTTTAACCAGTCCGTCAGTGACGTTTCAGTTCATTTGCGGAAAGACTTTCTCCAGCATCGGCGGTAGGCGATTCTTCAATAGTTGGTCCAGTCGGTGTGGCTCCCACTCTTGAAGATAGGGAATATTACGTTTCTTTCCAGTCTTCTGGGATCATCCATTTTCGCCAGTTACGTCACGAGACAGGTTGATACAAAGGAGAAGGTTTTCACTTGTGCACTTCAGGATTTTCGCCCCAGTCATGTAGTGTCCATAGGACATCGAGCTTCGGCACAGGTCGTATCGCCTTTCAGATCTGCTCGATCGATCGTGGGCGCTGTCAATATCTAGATCCTTTTCATCTTCCTCTTTCATTTGGAGATTTAATGGAGGACTGGCGATTAATCGCTTTTATTTTAGAAGCTCTGCGCAATGCACAGCCCATCGATTCCGACAACCATCAAAATCTTGCAGCGGCTCCGTCATACTCATTTGACCTACTGTGTAACAGGCCGGCGATTGACGCTGGTTTGCCGTCATTGGCGGTTGCATTCACTTGACTGTACAGTATCTTCTAATTCCCCTCTGCCACCGTCTTTTTCAACGTTTCGACTTCTGGCCATCATCGCCTGTCTTTACAGTAGCTTCTGTCGTTCGCTTTTATGAGACAGAGATACTTCCTTCCCTTCGTCTCCTCATGGTTACGTAATAACGCCTGATTCACCGAATTTCTTTCCTGGCAAAGACTTAAAGTTTCCTTCATGGCCAGAGCTGCTTTGTCTCCTTCTGCTGAAGGCGATAGCTTTGGCAGCGGCGTCGACGATGTCTTCTTTAAATCAATCTTACTGCAGCTCCGGTTCTTAGGAGCTGATGACGTCATTCAATGCAACGAATTTGCTGCAGATTTCCATCTAGAACACCTAGTGACTGACTGGATTCTAACGGGCAGTTGCCGTTGTTACGGTTAACACCGCTGCCACATAGACTTAGAACGAGGGGCTAGTTATCACAGTCGACGCCGGCCTGGGCCTCGAGGTCACCGGAGACGTTCGATAATTGATGTTCTGGGGAAGAACCAAGAAATGCAGGGCGGCAAACGTAGAAGTGGTCTTTCTTCGGGTGCTCCGCAAAGTTTCTGGGGAGGGGGGGGGCTCACACATCGACAAAGTTCGACCTTACGTGTCTCGCTGAGAATCAGCAAACGATGATTCTAGGGATAACAGAGAGTTTGCCGCTCAGGAGAACAGCAGAGCTGCAACTTCAGCCTTTCGGCGAGAATCCTGATTGCCATACCAGTAAAACTGCGTTAATGTCTATGGTACTGTAGGTGAGCCTCGGAGAGTCCCAATATATCCAACTTATATCGCGCTGCGGTGCTAGTTACGTTGTTTAATTTGCCATCATCATTAAATATCTACGCACGTTCGATCAGGCGGCATGAAGCCTCTCCTTACTGAAGTTGAGTTTCTGCGGTTCAGATTTCTTAGCGTAATACTCGAACCGCCCTGTAGATTTAAGCCGCTCATCAAATAGGAGTAAACAGCTCACAGAGAATCGAAATCGCGACGCAACGGCTCACCTCCACAAACAGTAGTTGAACTCGCGTGCTGATCTAATGACCTCACACACTCACTACAAAGGAATCGTAACATATATTCACAAGTTTGACAAAGGCAGTGTATTTCACTCACAAACAGCGCCCCATCAATCGATAACCTGTGGATTAAATGACATAGTTAATGCAGTTGACCACCGTTTAGTTACACAGTTCACATCGGCGACCGCAGCACCAAGTATTGAGAACATCCACCGGTCTGCGTCCAAACAGCTGCGACAAAAAGTTCGATTCCGTTTTCAGCTCGTGAGGCTAAAACAATCGAATAGCGGGAAGAACTTTTAGGACTTCAGGAACTTTGAACTGAACTGAACTGTGAACTCTGGATTAATGATCCCTGCGACATAATTTTTTAAAGCTTGTCCCGGATGTTTATGTGATGTTCACCTGTCCATTTTGCTATAGTTTTAGTTTTTGCAGTAAGTTTATTCTATGCTAATAATATACGGTATCATATTTTGGCTCAAAAACTGAACCCACACCTTTTGTTCGGCATGCTTTTTGACCTTGTCGTCCGCTCTTCCATATTATCACCTTTCATTGATAGGTTACTCTTCACAAGTTCAAGCTCGACGGCAAATATTTCGGAAAGCGACAAATTATCAAGGAAGTAACGTAGTAAACATGTTGCTGAGTCTGAAGATTTATCACTACCCTCAAACGGCCAGTTAGCAGTTTAATGATAATCAGAAATTCACTAATCATTAATAATTTAAAAACAAATTTCCTTGAGAGATAGACAATCGATCACGAAACAGATAAATAAATAACCGAAACAGATCGATAACTGGAATGCCATACTCTGTGTTAGTCCTAGAAACAAGCATTGTGGATCTTTTAATCACATCTTTTATCTTCTGAACGGAGAATGGTGACCCATGGACTAGATTGACGGTGAACTCGGACGAAGAGAGGTAGATTAGGTCAGAAAATGGAAAAAGAAAATCTTTCACGCTGGAGAGATGCGGGGTAATCACATTGTCTTCATGAAATAAGAAGGTCTGTTTTCCTCATTATGTTACTTATACACACATTTTTTCATCGTTATGCTGCGAAGCAATTTTAGATCGTTTTTCTGCTACTACAAACATTACACGTAGAACGCAAGTGCGGTAGCGGTACAAAACCGCAGAAAAGCGACTTATCCATTCGCGGTAGAAAAGACATTATCACGGTCGAGTTATGCTGTATTTCAACGTAATTTGTGTAATCGTCCGTAAGCGGTACTGGGTCATATACATATGACCGTTATGACAGTAATCATGCTTATAGCGCTCCTTCAAACCCTTTCCTCCTTGTATCATTCTATGTTGCAACTAAAGGATGAAAATTGTTGCTTGAGGAGCGGTAAATAATGTAAATCGCACCGAGATTTTCCAGTAAGTTTTGTCGCGTTTTTGTGATAATGAAAAATGTCATTCTCTGCTTATTAAAAGGATAATTAAACGTGCAAGTCAGAGAATCATTGTTTCGTCAGACATTTAATATTTTTCACATCTAAATGAAGTGAAAGAGTATTTTTTCTAATCATTTCCTGAAACCTTCCATAAAACATTTTCGGACCGTTCTTTTTAACTTAGACAATAGTGGATATAATCATTTAGGCAGTAACAGGCAAAATGAAAAGATTTCACTGTATACTCATTGGGGATTAACATTGACGCCGACCCTCTTTCAATCTTTCCACGCCGCTTCAGCTAGAGTATCCTTCTGACAAGTTTACCTTAAAGGTATATAGAGAGCTACCACCCACCTCCTGATTATTTTTGTCCCATTAATCGGCTACTTCTGCAGCATTTTAATGTGCTAGAAATAACATATATTATGATAGGACTATATGGTTAAGGCACCGTACTTCACTCGGTGATCGCCTGCTCCATTTTCCCTTCATGTTGATGCCAGAGACACAAAAAATTTATGAGAGGCCACAAGTTTCACAGAATCTCTTATCGTTTCAGCATTATGTGTAATGTGCTGTGCAAGGAGCCCGGCCTTACAGAAAGTCAGTTTTGGGCATTTTGATTAAGTACTGTGCTTACGCAGATGGGCTTACTTGGCATGTTCTTCGCTCGCATTCACTATGCCGACCGATCGAAACGCCAGAGAGCGAAAGAAATGGAAATGGAATGGAACTGTTCACCAAATCAGCGTAAATCGCAGTTCGATTAGAACGTTCTGTACAGGTAATGTGCATTTACTTTTTCAGTTTTGGAACGGAAATTGTTCACCAGTGTTTTTTATAACCATTACACTCCACCATCTGGATTCGACTTTGGAGGAGGTGTAGGAAGTCTGCAAATTGAGGTAAGAGTTAGTCTGTGAATGAACGATTAAGGAATTTCTCGTATATATAACTTACCAGCCGCAGTCATCGCGGTCTGTGCAGCATCATAAAACGCCGCAGGGCACAGAAGTGTCGTGTAAATGCGACCACATCAATATTCCTTCATCGGTCATTTTCAGCTTCATAGCTGGAAATATACTTCATTTATCAAGGTTAACAGGATGACAACAATATAACAACGTACTCGGGTGACGGTGACTGGGCAAAAGTATTTGTTGACACAGCGTTGACTCAGGTAAGTTCTGCAATGTTTTGCATGATCTTATACCGTAGATCATCATAGGGTAAAGCTTACAGGACGAATCATATACTGATGACGATGGGTAGTGATTTTTCCTATAGAATTGCCAGTGTATGGTTCAATAACCTGGACAAGATCATCAAACGTGTGAATAATTTGGTAAACCTCTTAACAGTTCTAAAACTTTCATTTGTGAAATGATCGTTTGATTTGATAGCAACATACGGATTTCAAGGTCAATGTCATGTACTCAACGCCTGCGTGTTATCTGAAAGCGCTGCTGGAATCAGGAGTTCCTTTCCCAAAGAAAGTCGATGACTTCTTCCCGTACGAAATGGAAGCAAATTCATATTGGTCAGGATACTTTACCAGCCGTCCAACGTTCAAGTGGCTTGCTAGATATGCCAATAATCTTTTACAGGTAAGAACACACACAGTAGTTATTACAGTAGTTATTTTTAAAGTATTGCAAAATTAGGTCATGGTATAATCTGCAGTTCTAAGCGCGTACGCGTCTCCGTATGGCCACTTAGGTTTGCTTATATGTACCGTAACAATCAGCAGCCGATGATTGGATTTAAAACAGTAACATTCAAAATGTTCCGATAGCATGCAGAAATCACGAGATATGACCGCCGTCATGACTTTGAATTCTGTCCATTTCAAATGACACTTTATATACGAAGATTAGAAGCGTCTTCATGATTTCATTATGCCCTCTTTAGGGCTAGATAAGGTGTGCGGCATTCACTTTTTTAACATTTTGTATCAGAATATTTGACTGAATCACATGAATAGTCACTTTAAAAGCAGTAATTGTTTTAATACCAGTCTACTATTATTTCGTAGTTTATAGTTACGGGATTCGTAATAAGCTGTGAGGCATACAAACTTCGATACGGCGTGTTATATTTCAAGCAACTCCTTGTGAGATCATGTGGCTGGGCGAAGGGCATTTTGCAGGCTAAAGCGAAGCGCATATTCATGATCCGTCATATTAACTCTGAAGCATGTTATGAATCCTCACCCGACAGGTTATCTAGGCCCTGGTTGCTGGGTTTGGCATGGCCGTATATGCTTTAAAGATAGTTATTTCTGGGAAAATGGCAATGTGATTACAGACTCGAAAGGAACAATTGAGAAGAGGAGAAGCACTGCATATTGCAATCTTCATAGAGCGTCTGATAAATCTATCGCTCATTCTGCTTATCCTCTAAGCAGATGATCACTGTGATGAAAAATTTGAAATTGATTGACGGTTGATATCGGTGTACAAAAATTACTCCCATCTCACCCTTTTAATAGCAATGACCTACAAAAGACGGCGTAATAACATTGCCAACACTTGATTCAGTACGTTCAACTTGCCAACTTTCCATGGCGTGAAGGAAGGCTGGATTTACAGAGAGCGAAAATTTGCAGATTATGCAAACATTGAAATGACCTTGAAGGAAAATTGGCTGTGAAAAACAACACACATTTCATTCATTTACGAGTGAAACAGCCAGCCGTGGCACTCATTGTGTACTTAAAAATAAAGATTCCCATTAGCTCAGTAGAAATACTGGTTGTGCGATGTAAACATCGCAGGCGAAATCAGGGAGATATATTTTCATAATGCAATGGTTGCAACTTATTCTAGGTGATTATG